TTTTAATACAATTCTCAGAACATGAACAAACAGCACACATTTAATAAATGGTTCTGAGTTAAGTAAAACTCCCACGATACCAGCAAAACCAATTCTGATGTATGGGTACATGGAAATTTAGATTTCATACGTGCAGTGCAAAACAACTATGACATTAAATAATAATTATTAGATTAATAGAAAGGTTCATGTGAAATAAAATCCATGTCATTTGAGTTATTGCTTGTTTTATATTCTCACACTACAGTGGTGTATTCTAGGCATAAAATGCTACCCAAGTGTATGGTCTGGTCTCACACAAGGAAACACGGTCTCATTTGCACTGCGTGCACCAAGCAAAGCAGTAAGAAAAAGAACACCTTCCAGAAGGGGCACACACCAACACTTACAAACAAAGAATTTCTGGGAAGCAGGCCCCAGAATGTGTGCTGCTCAATTTTAAGTGTTAGACTTTGGCTGTGTGCAGGAAAAAGGAAGAAAGCACGCACGCGAGAGAAATGAAAATGGGAGTGTGTGGGTGGGGACCTGACTATGTTGATTCCTTGTGCTTCTCGCAACACAACAGTAGGCCCAGGGGACATGACCCTGACTGCTGAACTCAGTACACCCACTCAACATGTTCTAGATGTAAACACTTTTCTGTTTCCTACAAAGTAGTGTTATCCTTCTGTAAGAGAGCTACAAGTATTTGGAGAAATGCCCACATACTACATTGGCCATTTAATCTTTGCATTCTTACATTCTGTAACAACTCCACTCTGTTCATTCAAGAGATGAACCACACCTAACTCACATGAACACATGTATCCTACTACAGATTACACCTCAAGTCCTCAGGAGCCCAGGGCTAATGCAATACATTCCATCTAAGAACCTAACATTGCTTCCCATCCAAAGAGTTTGTCAGCTTACAGTGTGCCTCTGATTCAGGTCTGTCTTCTTACAGAGAGAAACTCAACTCCAAGTACAAATGAACAAGTGTTTGATATTAGGCTTTAAAGAGAAGCGACAGGATCACGAGACTTCCAATTTGTGACCTGAAAAAGTACATAGTACTTACTCTCCATCCCAAACAAGCCTTTAAAACCTGATCCTCCACACACTGTCCTATCTCAAGGGTCTGCTGGCTTGGTGTTATTGTAGCATTCCATCCTAATCAGCTGGTCCACTGACAAATAGGTCCATTCATTCTCTTTCTCTCTTCTACACATATATTTATAAATGGTAAGCACAATATATTCTCTGTTATTGCATGGGGTTGGGCAACAGGCACACTGTTTAATAGAGAGGTGCCACGCATACCATGCATGATTTCTAAATGAATAGGATTTATCAAGATATATTAACACAAAAGCCATACTATCATAACTTCATCTTTCTTAAATGACTCAAAGAACACCAGAATTTTAGAATGTCTTCTGGTCATTGCAACGAATTACAATTACAAGCTTTGGAATAACTTAGACCTCTGGGTTCAAACTCCAATTACTAGCAGTTCATTTTGGCAAGTAACTAAATTTCTCCAAGTCTCAGTGCTTTTGTTTGAAAATGAGAACAAAAACATCTCCCTGTTAGGATCACCACGAAACACGGAAAGCACCTCTCACAGCAAGAGACACATGAACAGCTGTGTGGTATCCACACGAGAGTGTGGCTGAAGACAGAGATTATAGTCTTCATTTAGAAACAAAATCAACAAACAAAAAAAACCCAAGTTTATATGCCAGGGCTGAAACTGCTTGCTGTATGTCCACAGGCAAGTCCCTTAATCTTTCTGAACTTTAGTTTCCTCATCGGTAAAACAACCCTATCTAATCCAAGAGCATTTCCGGAGGAGCCTGACAGAAGAGGCTTTATACCACAGGGCTGCTGTGAAAATTAAAAATCAAACGAGTGAACACACATGTAAAGCGTTTCATTGAGCTCAGTGCCTGATGTAAGTGTTTAATGAACTTCAGCTATTGAGTACAGAACACAATACAACCAAATTCCAGAAAGAGAAGAGTGAAGTATTGGAGTGAAGTATTGGCACAGTATCTTAACTGCTTTAACAGAATGCCTCTGAGAGCTTCCCACTTACATAGGTAAGAATTTCTGGTACTATAAATACAATGGATGTCTAGCTAACAGTTAAATGATTAACTTAATAGAAATGTCTATAATTGTGGTTCCCAAACTGAGTGCCAAGACACCCCAAAGCACTACAGTGAGCTCAAAGGAAATGGTGGCATTACTTTAGAAGGAAGCAACAAAACTCAAAATCTGTCTGACTCCACACCAACTACTGGCCTGATGTAGTTCACAGTTTCTGCATTGAATCATGCTACATGTCTTTCCACAACATACTACCTTTGCAAAGTTGGTTAGTTAGCAGGTGCTGTGACAAAAAGTAACAGGAGAAAAATCAAAATTGAACAGAAAATGAGAGTGATCGTGTACAATCTGAATTCAAGGTCTGAGAACTTGTGCAGTGCCCAACAGGTGCGCATATAATATTTACAACTGTGGTTTCTGAAGGAATAAAAGTATTTTTTCTCACAATTCATATGTAATATTCTTTTAAACAATCACTAAGCTATTAAGACATAAATACTCAGTTGTTCAGACATAAGTACTTAATAAATGGAACATTTAGGTTTTTCTTTTAGTGTAGGAGGCACTATAATTGAGACACTAAAGGTGTTGTGAACTGAAAAACTTTAGAAACTTCTGATCTAGATTTTATCCACCCCCCGCCCCCATCACACCTGATATTACTGCTTTCTGGAAGTACAGCTGGCCCTCCGTATCCATGGGGTCCACACCTGTAGATTCTACCACCACAGATCAAAATATTTGGGAAAAAATTGCACATGTTATGAACATATACAGACTTTTTTCTTCTCACTATTCCTTAAGCAATACAGTATAACAACCATTTACATAGCATGTAAACTATATTATGGATCATAAGTAATCTAGAGATGATTTAAAGTATACAGGAGGGGCCGGGCATGGTGGCTCACACCTGTAATCCTAGCACTCTGGGAGGCCAAGATGGGAGGATGGCTTGAGGTCAGGAGTTGGAGACCAGCCTTAGCAAGAGGAAGACTCCCGTATCTACTAAAAATAGAAAGAAATTAGCTGGGCAACTAAAAATAGAAAAAATTAGACGGGCATGGTGGCACATGCCTATAGTCTCAGCTACTGAGGAGGCTGAGGCAGGAGGATCACTTGAGCCCAGGAATTTGAGGTTGCTGTGAGCTAGGCTGACGCCATGGCACTCTATCCCTGACAACAAAATGAGACTCTCTCTCAAAAATAAATAAATAAATAAAGTATACAGGAAGATGTGCATATGTTATATGCAAATACTATGCCATTTTATATAAGAGACCTGAGTATCCATGGGGGTCCTGGAACCAAACTCACCCCCCCCCAATATCGAGAGACTATTGTATTCTAAAATAAAAGGATTTCTACAAAGAATTTTATACTTTCTTCTCAAACTGTATGAGAAATTATTAGAGCAGGTGATGAGACTGACAAATAAAATTTTATCATAAAAATGAGATTTCTTTTGGAGTTCAATGTAAACAGCATGTCACGTAATACGTAGCACCCTAGTTATTAGCTCGATAAACTTCAAGCCAGATAAAATTTTTTCACATGTGACTTGTAAAGAAATCTTTCAGACTAAACATTGTTTCAAAACTGTTTGATAGAGCTTAGTTTCATGATAGAGTATTATTCCAAAATGCCTGTTGTCCTGGCATAATTATTAACAGTACCCCCTTTCAATCTCAAAATTACTCAATCTGGATGATTAATTACACAGACACCCTAATTTACAAGCCAGTTACACCCTGAAGAAATCAAGGTATGAATGTCTGTCTATAGCTATGCAAGAATGAAAAGTGTAATACCAAATTTCAGTTTTCAAAAACTCAATTATCAGACACTCAAAGACAAGGCTAGTAGTACCAGACCCCCACTAATATTCTTCTAACCCAGTCCTGTGGCTCTGAGGACACTGGGAGGTGGACAGCAAGTCAGCACTCCCAGCTGCCAAAGCTACTGAGGAGCGAGGCTCTGCTCCTTACAGGTTTCATGCATGTTTTACTGAGTTGTTAACAACTTGCAACAATAAGCCAAGGGCACTTAAGAGCCACAACTTAAGCATTATAGGAGGTATCCATGTAACAAAAACACGTGTATCCCCCTCAACATTTTGAAATTAAAAAAAAAATAAGCCAAGCAATAACGGCTTTACTTATTTTAAGGAAGAAAATACCATAAGAAAAGCAACTCCTGTATTCTCAATTCTCATTTGTTCAAAGGTCTTTCATGTTTCATTTTAAAGTAGCTACTACTGGATCCTTTCCCTGATTCTACCAATTTTTTTCTTATACACACCCCCAACCTACCCTGAGGTAAATTCTAACTATCTTCCTTCATACAAAACAATACTTCTTATTCACTAACACTATATTTTTTTCTTCAAAAGAAACGCAGTAGCTGGCTAGTTTTCACACCGACTCTCCGCCCAGGAATCCACGTCTCTTACAAGTCTCTGGGGCAAGATCCTTATGTACATCATGTTTGAGGTCTACTGATAAAAAAAAAAAAAAAAAGTGCCTCAGTGTAGAAGAGAGGAGAAGCTTACATTCACTGAACAATCCATTTACTTATTTCTTACAATTTTGAGCACAAATGTATTACACACACACACACAAAATGAGAAACAGGTACGGGGGAGACTGCCTAGACAGAGCCAGTGTACAAATCAGAAATGGCCCAGTGTTCCTCATTGTGGGGTGTACAAACCATTCACTCAGCAGGAGCGGCGGTGGGAACTCAGTTGCAAGGGGACATCCTAGCTCGTTTTAATAATTAATACCTTCCCCAAATTTGTTTGATCTTAGTAAAGAGCTCCCATCGGCTTGTTGTTTTCTGAAGTTCTCTCCTTACCCAGCTTAGATCTATCCTCCAGGTAAATAACATTCTTGACAATGGACTACCGCTTCTTGCTCCACCAGCCACCTTTTCGACATAGTCGACTGACAAACCCCCAAACCTAGACAAACCAACTAAAGATTTTTTGCTTGATCAAACTTTAGTCAGGCTCCAGTACATTCTCCTACATCCATGTACGTACTTCCTTCTATTAATAAAATCTGGTTTTAGCAAGAACCCTGCTAAGTCACTTTAGCCAGTATCCCCAGCTTCTGTATCTGATGACACTCCACAGCCAACTGGGCTCCTCATCCTCCACCATCCCCCAGGTGGTGTGTCTGGTCACCCTGTCCTATCTTCAGCAAGAATTCTGTTAGGTCGGTTTAGCCAGAATCCCCTTATTCCTGATGTTTCCTTTTAACAGCTTTCCATCCACTGACCCCACCCACCTCCTTGGCTATAGTTCCTGATTCCCCACGCTGTGTTGGGAGTTGAACCCAGCCTCACTTCCCTACTGCAAAATCACAATGCAGTGGTCCCTACACCTACCAAGACAGTTCTGAATAAAGGCTGCCTTCCATCTTGAACAAGCACCATGAATAATTTCTATTTAATACCATCTCTATCTGTCCTGATATGTAAGCACCTGAGCACTGCAGAGAGTGCCCTATAGCCAGCCGGCAGATCAGTCCACCACGGAGCAACAATTACCACTTGCAAATGTTCCTCAACACTGCCCAGAAAAAATCTACCTTTTTCTGATCAACCTTTCACAATCTCTTCAAACTTCCAACCTCCATCTCCTCTCCTTACCTGTGCTCTCAATATAGCCTCACCCCCTGTACCTCAGAAAGGAAATAAACTCCCTCACACCAGAACTCTCCACATCCTGCTGCTACTAAACTTACAAATGTACCACACTTCTGTACCCTCCTCTCCTACTCTCCTCACAATAAAAAATAAAGGAGGTATGTCTTCCTATCTTTGGAGACATGCCTCTTGTATTCTTCTACTCACAAGGCCACTGTGAAAAACACATGTTCTGATCCATGCATTGCAAAGCGCAGTGTGTGGAACATTAAAAAGTATTCGATGAGTAATAGCTGTTTTCACTGTTAAGGTTTCCAATATAATTGTGGCTAGCGGGCAATCCAAGGATGAAACAATCAATCTTATATTTGATTATCGGATAAGCCTATCTTCAAACAAAATTCTCACTGTTACCACCTCCCCTCAAATTCACATATTTATCTCCACAAGAAAAACCAACCACAAAGGCTAGTATGAAGAACAAAAAAGGCACCAACATTTTCTCACCTTTGCTGACTTTAAAACTACTCAGACCTATTGTTAAATGATGGGGCACCAACAGTGAAAACTAGGTCCCTCTCCATACTTGCTATGATACAGTCAGTTACCAGTTTCTCTTGCAGGAAACTATAACTTACGGAATTTAAATGGACTAGAACATTTGGATCACATTCAAAGTGTACACCGTATCTTGCTGCCAATATCTAAATCACAGGGGGTACATAGGACTCCAATAGAGAAACTTTACAGTATACACATTCACCAGCCTCATAGTCATCTTCCTTCTAGAGGGAGTCTTGGCAATTAATTTCTCAAAAAAAAAAAAAAAAGCTAGACAAATTTATACAGAGTGAAACAAGACTGTATTACTTGTTTAAGCCAGGAACACAAGCAGGCTCTTTGCTCCTTTCTGTGTAAATATTCTTAAGACCCTCTTGCTCAAAACCCTGGACAGCTTGGGGAATTTTGATTTCAGGCATCCGGGTAAGCTGGCTGGTTCAGGTTGGAACCTCTGTACTGGCTGCTCATTCAAGATAAACTTTAAAAAATGAATAGAGTCTTGGTTCCCCCTTCCATCAACCCATCTGGAGCTCTCAATATCAGCTCAAAAATTTATCCTTTCAAGTTACATGTCCTTTAGAAAAGTCAGAGATATATTTCCTGAGTCACCTTTTAGGAAAGTCATCCTTTAAGTTTCACTGAATGTAGGTAAAAGCTAACCCCAACCCCAAGTCATTTTATAAAAGCAATTACATTATTATGTCAACAATATGGTAAGGACAAAAATCTCGGAAAAAAATAATTACTAAATAAATTTAGCCTTAAGAAAAGCATATTACGTCAAGAACCTCTATTTGGGAATTACTGCTCTATAAGGTTTGATTACCGGGCACCAAGGGCAGAAGGAGTTGTTTTTACTGTCCATAAAACTTTTAAAACTGCCAAATATCATGAAAAATGCGGAAGATTTCATGAAAGAACCCCAATTTTCACCTTCTCAGGAAAATTTGGAAGGCCTCACAACACTGGCCTGCCCTGCCAGCATGGGCTAAGGCTGAGTGGCGCCCGCCTCAGACAGGATCCCTGCTCTCTGGCTCGCCAAGGGCCACCCCTCCCTCCCATTTGTCTCAAATCCAGGCAGACTTTGCTAGTTCAAGGGACCTAACTTACTCCTGTAGACATCTGTGTTTTGATCCCTGTTTTAAGGCATTGTTCAGATCCCGGGTATGGTAGAGAGTAGGGGATATATTATTTGCAGCAGTTAGCAGATGTTGATTCTTCAGTTGAACAAATCTCAGGTGGTTTCTGAGAAAAGGTTTTGGGAGAGTAGATGGGAGGGTTTAATGAACCAGGTGCTGGGAAGCTAGCAGAGAGGAGGAGGGGAAGAAAACAACAATACATTTTACCCACCAAGAAATTTTGCCTGATATCAGCCCTGCTTTTCTTATTCATGAAAGTTATGTTGTGGAATGAGAATTGGACTGATTTCTTTTTTATTTTATTTATTTATTTATTTTGAGACAGAGTCTCACTCTGTCACCCAGGCTAAAATGCAGTGGTGTCATTGTAGCTCACTGCAACCTCAAACTCCTGGGCTCAGGCAATCCTCCTGCCTCAGTCTCCTGGGTAGCTAGGACTACAGGCACACACAACCATGCCTGGCTAATTTTTCTATTTTTTGTAGAGATGGGGGGTCTTGCTCTTGCTAAGGCTGGTCTCCAACTCCTGACCTCAAGCGAGCCTCCCATCTTGGCCTCCCAGAGTGCTAGGATTACAGGCGTGACCGGGCCAGACTGATTTCTTAATCTAAGTGTATTTGAGAGGACAATTTAGTTCTCATTCTCCTGCTCTCTTGGTGGGCCACAAATATCCTATGATTCTATTCGTCATTTGTCAACTTTCCTCTGGGTGTTGCCTATAACAACATGTTCTCTCAGTGATTCCCCCACCCAAGTTGCTCTGAAGTCAGCACTGTCTAATTCACTGTTCTGCTTTCATTAACATCGGGTGAGATCTAATAAAGTAAACCCAGCATTGCCTCAGAGCTCAACATTCTATCTCCTGGCTGTGCAAAAGAGAAAGCAGACAGACTTCCTCCAGGCTGGGGGAACATGAGAGTGAAACACAGATGGATGCTTTGGTGCCTCCAGAGCTGGGTTTTAGCCAACACAGCACAACTTAATTCTCCAGAAACCAATATTGGGAAAACCGAAAGCATCAGATAACCAAAATGACAAAAACAAGAACTCAATACATTGCTAGCTAATATATGCACAGATTACTGTATTTAGATGGATCATACTTATTCCAGGCTTGTGTGGCAGAACAGAATCTTGTTAGAATAGCAAGCCTGGAAGGCTCATGGCTGAGTCTGCCAGCCACCTGCCAGCAGAGACCTATTTACACACACGCTTTCTCACACAAATCAGAAGCAATTCAGTTTTAAAAGACATACACCTTTAAAAAAGCCTGTATTGGCCCTTGGGTGACCTATAATAAAGTCAGGAAATCCTTTCACAAATCAGCCCCTTTTCTCATTTCTCTCCATTGTAGTCATTAATTTAGATTTTGGTGGATTTGGTTAACTGGTAACTAATAGTCACGAATATGAGACGTTCTAGAGCTGTGTTATATAAAGTCCTCAACATCAGGAACCTCAACAACCCAACACTCAGCTGTCCTCCAAAAGCCACAAGCCAAAGGCCTACAGAGAGAGGGAGGCCAGACTCAGACCATAACTCTCAGGATGCTGGACCCCCATTAGAACAATCATGTCCACTGCAAATTCTAACTGATTCATTCATTCACGCCTTTCCTTTTTCTGAAGCCTCAACAGCTTTTCAGCTATGAAGCCCAAAAAGTTTGAAAGGAGATTCTGAATATTGACCCTCTAAAATCTGCATTCTCATCGATACTTTTCCAGGGGGCCGACTTTCACTCCCCAATCAGGCTTAACAGGAAACATAGTTTACCAAGCTTCTGGTGAAGAAAAGCTCTTTATTAACACTCAGATCTTCTATTTTAAAATGCCACTGGCTTCTCCCATCCTCTTCAGGTTACAAACAACCAACGACTCTCTGCCCTTCATGCTTATTGGCTCACAGAAAGACATATGCATCATATAGGCCCTTTATGTTTACAAAGATGCCAAATCCCTTCACTAAGTTGAAGGACTAATTCCCTCTCTTTCTGAACTACGGACCATTTGCCATGTTCTATATAATGCATATAAATGGTAAAGTCTTTGAATATTCAGGTAATAAATTTTCTTTGATGATCTCCAAAACTCATTATCTCAAAGTTTTGATATAAGGGGCTGGGAAAGAAACACTCCTAGGCCAGGCACGGTGGCTCATTCCTGTAATCCTAGCACTTTGGGAGGCTGAGGCAAAAGGACTGCTTGAGTACAGGAGTTTGAGACCAGCCTGAGCAAGAGCGAGACCCCATCTCTACAAAAAATGGAAAAATTAGCCACGCATGTTAGTCCCAGCTACTCAGGAGGCTGAGGCAGGAGGATCGCTTGATCCCAGAAGTTTGAAGTTGCAGCAAGCTACAATGGCGCCACTGCACTCTGGCCTAGGCTACAGGGTGAGACCCTGTCTCAAAAAAAAAAAAAGAAAACAAACACACACCACTCCTGTTATAAGAAAACAACAATGGGCTGGGAGGGGTGGCTCACACCTGTAATCCTAGCACCCTGGGAGGCCAAGGTAAGAGGATTGCTTGAGCTGAGGAGTAGCCTGAGCAAGAGTTGAGATCCCATCTCTACCAAAAAGAAAAAAAAAAA